AGGGGGGGGGGGGGGGGGGGGGGGGGGGGGGGGGGAGGAGGGTGAAGGGTTGGCTCCAACACAACCTATTTGCTCAGTTTGGTTTGTTTCCTTTTTTTGGCAAGCTAGCTTGATTGAAAAGGCGTGATGCACTACCAAGCCTTGAACAGCGCAGCTAGGGACTTTACGTGCACGTAGTTTAAAGTTGAGAAAGGGAGGGAGGCAGCGAGCGGACGTGTCAGGTGACGAATGAAAGCGATGGCACTGTGATGTTAGTCGATTCGCCCCTAAAATCCTACAGAGGAATGGTTAAACGCGGCACCACCTCAAAAAGTGACGATTTTCTGACGAAATCGACTGTTAAACTACAAAATTTTACTAGCGTTGTTGAAGCAACCAAGCGACCGGAAATTGAACCTATCCAAGCAGCGCGCGATGCATGTGACCTCAAACGCACACCCCCTCCATTCAACGGGTGTGTTGCGTGCGTGTGTGTGCATGTGTCAGGCAAAGAAACTGGTCAGCGTGGAAGGGAAGGGAATGCCATCAGCTCAGTCAGATTCTTGGGTGATTCTGGCGGTTTGAGGTCTCAGATTACGAGGCTGGAGAAAGCCACCATCCGATTTTGCTACACGTCGGTGTCCAGAGAATCAACTAGTGCGTGGCGCTATTAACCAATCGCCCGTAAAATCCCACCAAACAGGCAAAAACGATTGTTTTAAAGTCGTGGTTAACTTGCTTTCAATCAAGGAATACTTTGCAGTGCTTCGGCTGCAGAGTGCATTCAGATATATTGACGAATCTCACAACGCACTTAGTCTATGTCCTGATCTCCGATTTCATAATGGTACACTGAAAGTCCGTCGGAAGTTCGCAATACAAACCCACGAAGTGCAAGAGTGAACACCACCGACAAAGGAAATCGCGATGTTCTGAAGGCAAAACGACGTCGCTTACAGATAACTCCAAAGTGTGGTGGTGAATATGAAAAAAGGGGGGGAGGAGGAGTGCGTACCAACGAACGACATGGTTCATCACAGGGCAGTTTGACGATTACACAACGTGCAGTTCATTTTGGCACGGGATTGTTTGCCTTGGCAATTTCACACAGGAAGTGTAAACACTGGTGTATAATGCGGTAGCAGGACTTGTGCGCAGAATGTGCCAGATTGGCGTGCAAAATACGGCGATTCCGATCTGCCGGAGGAACGGAGGTCCACGATTCTGGAAGTTGGAGCCTAATTCCAAGCGGTTAGGCAACAGGGCACCAACGCTGAGAGGAATTACTAGGCGCTAATTATAAGCTGAGAATTTTAGTCGATGGGTCAAAATGCCTCGTTGGGGAAGAGGGGAACAGAGCTTTACTGATTCAACATCCGCAGATGCAATTAGATTTGAAAACGGGGCGTAAACACTGGCTGGCGTGGCGGCTCACGACTTAAACAAAACGCCCATACAAACAGTTCCTGAATAATATTTTTTGATATTTTCATTGACTACAACTGACAACCAGCCGAAAACTGCCCATGGTCACAGACAACCAGTGGGTGTGGAAATGGTACCTTCACGAAAATAAAACCAAGAGCGCAATCTGATTGGTTCGTATCAACTGTTTCGACGGGTGCGAGAGGGGCGGCATTTACTGGTACCGTGTCGGGAAACAGGTGATATCGGCTTTCAGAGATAAACAGCTTTGAGCTTGTTTTGACATCCGATGTGTCACTTGTGATTTAGCCCTACAGCCCATGAAGAGGCAGTTCGTTTGCAGCTAGTACACCTTTAACACGGGGTCCAAAATGCAACATTTTTGGCAAATCGTTTTTGCCGAAAACGCAGTCAATTTGCCGAGATTAACAGAGAGATGTGCTGAAGCCAGGGTGTTGGTAGAGTGACGCAAATAGCGCGTCAGGATTGGCTGAGAGAAGTCTGCATTGGGGGGTGTTTTGAGAGTCAAGATTGAAGATGACGAAATTAACGCCGAGAAAAACCAGTCAAGGACGACCATATTGGTAGATCGTGATGAACCGACATAATTCACAACAAAATCCGAATTGCTGCCAATCGCTGAGCTGCCTCCAATCAACTTGCATGTTTGCCGTCGACAAACGATAAACCAGTCAAGTAAATGGCACAAAGACTGTCTTCATCAGAACTGTGCTCAGAACAACAGTTTGGTAACTCGTGAACAACAAATATTGCACGTTGTATAAGCTTCCGGTGTGTGGTTTGCACGAAATCGTTCGTGGTTTAGTCATTGCTGCTTATGACCAGAATGCAAGATCACGGGGTTATCAAAAATGTGCAATAATGTAGCCGGACAAGATTTACCAGATCATCGAATTCGACAGGATCTTACGGAAGAAGATTGCAGGAAACGCTCACCATTCCCACTTTCGTGAGGTCAAATTATCGATTGATTTAGAATTTTTGAAAAATCATTCCCTCTCACATACACACATCTCAGACCTGTGCATGCGCTACTTGTTCGTACCCAAAGACCCTCTAGGAATGACCAGACAACGCTATCTTTCCCTTTTGTTTGGTGAGGTCCCTGACCTTGAAGTGGCCAACTGATGGTGACCTTGGTTCCAGTGAACGCGATTGGCTACCGAGATGACCTAAAAACGGCGTCTGGATTGAAACACTTGCACACAGACACCCCGTGAAGTGAATGACAGAGGGTAAGCTGTGGTAGGTTTGGTGTGAGTGAACACCAGTAGAGCAACAAACGCATTTTTGACATGAAATGGACTTTGTACACACTGAAAACGTTGCATTTAGACCAGCTTTAGACAGCATGGTAATTGGATCAGACCCAAGATGGAGCTTGGAGTCGCGCATTAGCGTGGGGCCGGGAGTATAACGCCCATTTAGACGATTAATATAACCAATCAAAAGGCCCCACAAGACAGCGCCAATTGGATTAAGACGAGGGAGGGGGGGAAGTCGGGCACAAAGCAAGCTTGTGTAGGCAGTTTGTGGACATTCATGAATAGTTTCGACGGTTTTGGTGACACAAACATCGCGGTTTATGAGCACAGAGGCGGTTTAGACGTCGAGAAAATCAATTAAGTGAGGCGCGGATAGACGCACACACACACAACTTGCTCTATCGAAAGCCACCGATGCGTCCAGACTGGGCTGCAGCTGTTAAGTAAACCGAGCAGTCACGTAAACACACGCACACACTCCGCCTCATCGGCGTTAGACACAAACCGATTCGTTTGACCGCCACGCAGGTGGCATGTGACAGAATCTCGGATCAATGGATGGTCCTCTTTCATGCCTCCGCGGTCGAATGACGCGCACAAACGCACAGACACGATGGTGCATGTGGAATTCGAAACGTCGACAGCTGTTGCCTCCCAAAGTTGTACGTTTGCAATTTTTTGCGCTAGGACAGTTAACCTAAATAAGGCGACCTTTGGTGCCTACGGAGGTTGCGTTTTTAGTAAGAGCACAAGATTTGCTAATAATAATAATAATAATAGCCTACTTATCTCTGAGGGGACAAGGTACACACGTGAACAGGTTTTGCACGTTAAGGTGATGTTGCCAAAGGCTTGCATTACACGAAAACGCGTGATCGAACAGTTAAACAGGATCCGCAAGGGAAGAACCATTCCGTACCAACTATGTACACACGCACACAATGGAATCGGAGAGAGAACATGGACCGTTGACAGCCACTGAAAACGGAGAACACCTTCGGCTTCAGGACAGACATGGAGCGCTTGGTCGGGTACTCAGTTTGACTGGAATATCGGACATCAATTGGTGGATAAGCCAAGACTGGGAGGGTGGGGGTGATGCCACGGTGACGGTTGAAGGGCTCTCCACAGAAGGACCTGCTGGGAGACGGCAACTTACCCCCCCCCGCCTCCGCTTAATTCCACGAACCGTCGCTGACACCACCAGACTGACAGGTGGTGCTTGTGCCCAATAAGCGCACACCTGAAGTGCCGCTGATTGGTCAGAATTATTGACCTCACAGCGAACATTAGAAGCACATACACACACACACAGAGAGATGTAGGCCCGTGCAGACTACTTGTTACATTCGATAGAGAAAAGAAGCACGTCGTGCACTTACACACACACACGCGCGCGCGACTAAATGCGCCTGCCAGCCTTGCAACCACTTAATTTGATAGTAAGATTTTAAATTAAAAGAAAATAAAACAACGGAAATTAAGAAATGGGCTTTTCGGGGGTGTAAATGAAGTGGGCGATACCTCAAATGAACGGGGTTTGTGTATGAGTAGACCTGGCAACCAATCTGGGCGGAGCGCGTAGTCAGAGGCCAACGGGCTGACTCAGCCTGTGGGGGGGGCCTAGTTGCGGAACAGCTCTCACCACCTCACACAATACATTAACTCGATTTTAGGCACTAGTGGAAGCAAGACAAGTACGACCAGGAAGCTTTTATCCACAGGCATGTGTTTTGCGCCGTTTTGCGCCGCACACAAGACAGTCCCGTTTTGGGGTTGAAGCATGTGTCCACCGTAAGGTCGATTCATAAGTCGTACGCGCAAAATCGGATGTGCGTTTGGGCGTTTCACCACACGACATTGTCGAATTCAACCACAAACTTGAAGTCAAAAGAACGTCGTTAATCACGAAGTTTGTCGAATACTGATGGAGTTGTGAAAGACGCCAGAGCCTACAGAGCGTATGGGTTGCGGTAATAGACCTTAGACAGTTTGCATTACATAACTACACAAAACACGCCAAGGCCTTTCGAAATGGTGGCTGTTGAGAACATGCGAGAACTTGTGTGTGCGCCGAGTGCGGGCACGCAAAAGGCGTCACACGGAGCCAAAAGCACGCCTGACTGAAACAAAATAGTCGTGAGCACATCTCAGAGGTTGAAGCACTAGAATGTCGAAATGTTCTGAGATGTGACTGTTTGTGAGCGCAAGAAACAAAGTTGTTACACCGGTGGCAGGGTTATTAACCACACTTGCGGGTTCTGACTACAATAATGATAAATGGAATTGTGAGTACAAGATGTTAGCGATTGAACTCGCTGCAAATTGACCTTTTGGTTCACAATAAATTAATAAGACAAACGTCTACTTTGTGCTTAAACAAGTGAAACACCATCAAGTTCAGTATTTCATAAGACGCGCATTTTTAATGCTCGAGCAACAAAAAGAAATAATAACACATTCAAACAGGATAAGATAAAGTATACGAGAGACAAACGAAGATCAGGAATTCAATTTTTAAACTGCATTCATATGTAAAAAAGTATTAAGCTAACAACCGCATGCACCGTATCTTTTAACCAATCGGCTTAGCCAAAACGACTTATTGAGAACACAAACGCAAGAACCAAAAGAGTAAGCTTCATGTTTATCAAGTGACATTAAACTTACAATGACAACCCATTGGCCTGGTAGTTTGTGAATAATGTTGAACAAGTAGACAATGAAGAAAAATGTCGACACGATAAGCGAAAGCGCTGCGGTGAAATTAATCCATCCTCCAGAACCGCTGTCACGGAACCAGTAGTTGGACCCGACGCAGATGAACACAACGATTGTAAGGACAATCTGTAATGAAATAATGGCCGTTGTAAATAGCGCAAAGAAACCAGAGGATCAGCACTCAATGTTAGCTACAAATCACTTCCCCAAAATGGCACAACGACCCTTAAAAAGTTTCTGAGACTGAAAAGTAGCGCTTAGAATAAAAAAAAGGGGGGAGGAATAAGGTGAACCCGAAAAATTGAAACTGATGAAACTCAATGTGTGATAAAAGTTAGGGATTAGGGGACCTAATATAGCAATTACGCAAGTCTCCTTGCGCTATTCTAAAGCAAAAATATCACATGTACATTACAGAAATCCATACTGATAAATAACTGTGCAGGTTAATCGGTTCAGTTAATCACAGCTCCCTGGAAGCCACATTGTTGTAGAAAGTGATGGCAAACCAAAACATTCAGTTCAGTATAAAGTTGTTCATGGCTAAATCAAGATGTGAAATACCCGTCTCAACGCTCATGGTGTTAATTGTAGTTCACCATTCATAAAAACGGAAATTATTCAGTAGTCGTTGGAGTTATTAATTTATCCGTCATTCATAAATACTGATCTATTTCGAAACTCACCTCAATTATTTTAAGAATTCCATGCTTGTCGCGAAGAAAACCTTGATTCAGTTGTATGGGAATAGGCTCAGATTCCCTCACTTCGTAAGTAGTCTCATATGCTTGCTGATGCATAGCCCAAACCCTATAAATAACCTTGAAGACGCCAGAACTAATTTCATAAATTGATGTGACTAAACATTTATAAGTTTTTTTTGGAAAGGTATCCTACAAATTAAAAACCACAAAAAAATTAGCAACAATTATTAACTATCCAAAATATTATTAACACAATAGTCATAAAATGATGGCATAGAATCAAGTACAAAAGGAACAAATACCCAACAATTTATAAAAAGAAAAACGATGTAATAACCTATTCCGTTTTAGAAGTATACAAGGCTTACAAAGTAAGATACATACTAATGAATAAAGCAAAAGTAGGTTAATTAAAAAGTAGCAGTGTGCTTATAAGATGTTCCAAATTTTTTCATTTTTACATACCTCATTTCAATTAATCAGCAGAAGTATATTAGAAATAAAATAATCTTATCCTGCATGTTGGTAAGTTAAACGAGAGTTTTGCTCATTTTACGACATTGTAATATGAATGTAATCAGAGATGAGGCTGCAATTAGGCTATGTTTATTTCCAAATATATATCTGCTTTGATTTACACGTGTGGGATGGTAGCTGTTTTTATAGGTTCGATTGTCATGTAATCGAACATATACTAAATTTTAATAGAAAAAACCTTTAAAACTCAAAGGTTTTTGAATTGTCGACTTCCTAAATTTCTAATTAAATGCTGCAAGCTGAATTTATTCAGACAGCAAGCATGATATATATCGTACACCTGTGAGCTAAGCAAATCAGCATCTTGAATATAAAATTAATTTTTTTACAAGGAAAAAAATTATCGTTTTTAAAAGTATGCACTTTAGCATTATTATTTTTCTCTGTGAAAATTTCCAATTTATTAGAAGTTTTTCTCATGTGCTCTTTTTTAAATAATTGTAAAAATTTGACTCTGGTGCTATGGGCATTTTTTAAATTTATAATGTAGCGAACACATGTAATCTAAACCATGTTGTAAAATCTCGCAAAACTTGTTTGTATTTACATAATAATAGAACACCGTTTTAATTTGGTCTCGGTCCTTGTTTTTCGGCTAATCAGGATGATCGGTGTTAGTAATATTACAAATAGGATGGATCCTAATAGCCTGAAATCACGTGTTTTTGTCGGAAATCTTAATACACTTCACATACAGAAACCAGAACTAGAGTCCATATTTTCAAAATATGGGAACATTATCGGAATATCTGTTCATAAGGGATACGCTTTTGTTCAATATGCAAACGAAGTTCATGCGCGATCTGCAGCTGGTGGCGAAGATGGAAAGGCTTACTATGGCATGAAATTAGGTAAATCCTGTGTCATCATGAGTCCCATCAAATGGCTTGGATTTCCTGGGCTCGGTTGTTTTGATTTTTTTCCAAAAAAAAACTTTTTGAATATTGTGTTTGCTCCCAATTTTTTTGATATCATTTTGAAATTTTGATATTCAGGCAGAAGTGTGTGGTATTTCGAAATTGTAGTGCACTTTTTGTTGTTTATTTTTGCCTTGAGCTTTTCTGCCATTTTTCGAACATTCTGTGGTTTCGTTCCCTTTGTTTAACCTTTTTCAATCTTTTTCGGTTAATCTTGCCATAGATGTAACTATAGCCTCTGAGCCCAAGAATCGAAAGCGAGGCCGCTCTACGGCAGGGCCTACTATTTGGTAAGCCCTTTCCCTTCATCTCCCTTTTGCTTTTTTTTCTCCCTACTTAGTCGTCTTTTCGTTTTTGTCTGTCCTGAATTAGAACCCCGTATTGTTTCATTTCAGTAACCAACAACACCTCGTTGATTTGGCCTTACAAACCCAGGCCTTGGCTGCCATTGGTGGTCAGTTTTCTCAGCTTGGCTTTATGAACAGTCACAACAGCAATCCCAGTGGCGGCTCCTCATTGAATCTCACAAGCCTATTTGGTAATCCACTGTTGAATAACGCGCCGAAAATGCCGAGCTTGTCATCATCGTCATCCCGCACACAGCACCATCGAGCGCATCGGCAAATGCCTTCGTCATCGTCAGCGAAACGGACAAGGCTTGAAAACCCTCCAGTTGGAGGACCCTCGTCCTCCAACAACGTGGGAGGTGTTCGACCTGCGAATCTCGTCTCGTTGGTTACGCCAAAGCCTGAATCCATCTCTCCAAAGTCTTCCTCTACAACAACCACATCCACCACCAAAAAGTACCCAAGGAGCAATGCTTCTGTCATCTCCGACAAACTGTCATGTATGAAGGTCGACAACGGTTTCGATTTGCAGTCAGGTAAATTTGGTGTGGACAAACGATTCTTTTCACATTTGTTGACTAAACGCGCGACATTTTTGTTGAACCAGTTGATGTTCTATTGCGGAATTTGTTTGCCGTTTAGTCACATCCAGTGAGGGAGACGATCGCCGAAGTAGCATTGGCGCCCACGAGGACATACTAATTTGTGGCCACTGTCGAAGATTATTTGATTCGGTAGATGCTCTGGTATCACACAAGTCAAGTGGCTGCAATCTCGACACTGTTGGTGCCCCTCAATGTCGATGCAAAATGAGTGAGTATTGACATCACGCCTCATTGACTATTTTTGGTCGGTACTTGTCTTTCAAATCTTGTCTTTATCTCCATTGTTCTTTAATCGCGGATTGTGTTCGCTAAATTTACCGATGTGTAGTGGGCCCCGGTACGGTTTTAGAAACCACACCAGGGCCGACAATCTACATTGACACGGCCCGACCGAAAGAAGAGCAAAAAATGCTGATGGCGCGTAGCTCAACAAATTTATTGATGCAGCAGTGTATGTGTTGTTTACAAGTTAACAAGTACGTTTATATAGCCTTGCTAAACATCGATCCCTGAACGAACATAGTTAGGTGAAGTTCATTCATGTAAATCACTGGAATCATATTCGCTCCCGATTGCTAACTGCGTTCGCGTGCTGCTCACCACAGATGTTTCTGTGATAGCACTGTAATCATGAAACTTACTCTTAGCCATACTTCCGGAGTCTCTGGTGAACTTTTTAAAACCGCAATTCCCTACTCATAAACTTTACATTTTCTCCATTTCCAAGTCCTCAATCATAACAGTTAGGTAGTTCCCCTTAATCCCACACAACTGCAATCTTAGGCTTCAGTGTTAGTTGCTATCCTTGCGTGATTTACATTCTACATTACGCTAATTATTCTCTAAATTCCTTTATTTCTGTTCGGTCGCATGGTCGTCGTCAAAAAGTCGTCTTTAATGACGTTTTTTCGCCTTTGACAGCCGGTGAGCCAGAACGCCTTGACTGTGCCTACTGTGGTGACAGTTTTTTAAGTGCTTGGGAGTTGGTCTCTCACTGTCACACGGATCACGGGTTGACAATTTACGTGCTGCCCTCAACCGTGTCGCCCGGCGATGCATCCTCGCCACCACCTCCCTCGTCCTCTTCGAAGGGAGAGCATGGTGGTTGCCTCTCACCCGCTGCTGGCGCGCCTCCTGCTCCCGCTTCCTCCTCAACTTTAACGCCGCCGAAGCAGGAACCTTGCGAGGAGGAAGAAGAGCCAGAGGATCCGCCGACGCCTCAGCAGCCAGAGATCGGTGAAGAGGAGGAGGAGGAGGATGAGGATGCAGAGGAAGGTACGCAGAGTGCGGCGACAACAGCGACGTCATTGAAACAGGAGGCCGAAGACAGGGTGCCTGCCAGACATCGGCACGGCCGCGATCACGGCCACCACGAGGCGTCCATTTCCGATGAAGACTACGAGGAAGAAGTGGGCCATGGGGACGACGAAGACAGTGATTGTCAATTCCCCAGTTCTCGTCCGTCGTAGCGCACACACCGTGACTTCGACCGTCATGGTTTTTATTCTATGTTTTATTTCATTGTAATTATTTGCTCATCTTCACTTCCGCAAACCCGGCTCCTGTTTATCCAGCAAGTGTCTCCCAACACGAGGCCTTGCACCCTTCTGTTAGTTTCCTCGCCAAGTTATCATTCCTGGCTCTACTGGGGCGCTCTTTAGATGCTGCCTCAGTTTGTGCTTGCCTCCGAGTCCTCCTCGACCCATCAAGTCCCACGGCTTCCTCCCCTCTTCCCCCGCTATGCTTTCTCTTCCTCTTATGCGTAAACACGTCTAACTTAGCCAAAAGTAAATACAGGATGTTCGGCTTGTAAATCACACAACTGGGTTTCAACTTGGGTTGCGATTTGTCGGCGCTATTGTTTATTTGTTTGACCTCATCGTCCTGATTGGTTAAAGGCCCGGTTGGTTGTTCCGGAGTTGCAGCTTTAACGCGTCTGGTGTAATTTTCGGGTCACAGCACAGGCTAGTTCTGGTTCGGTGAATTTGCGGCCACAAACCTCCGATCTTTGTGATATTCCACAACCGGAAATGATTCTAAAATCTTTCGACTTTCCCGTGGTGCATTTGCGCCTCTACGAGCGCAGGTTTCGGTTTTAGAGTGCGCTACTAGCTGCACGAAAAACATTGTTTTTTGTTTTGATCGCGGCGTCTGGGTAGATGTACTCTTCGCGCTTGTACGGGTGGCTCAGATGCTGGCCGGTGCGCGTTCCCAGCTATCAAATCTCATTCCAGACGGTAACGTTCTGGTCTACTGCAGGTCGAACTGGTTCAGACTCTAGCTCACGATTTCAATAACAGTCGACTTTGCGCTGTGAAAAATCGCGGTTGTTTGAAGCAAAAGTGCGCTCAATACCAACTGGATAACAACTTCTACTTCAATAAAATTGACGCTGAGTTTCGAATTGGCTCTTGCGAAAGTCGAAGTTTCCGGGACGGACGTGTGAGAAGGCATCATCGGCCGCATGCGTCGAAAGCGAAAAACTCGCTTGGCAACTTTTAACGATCGACTGCTTGGTCGAGAATACTACTTCACGCGACGAGGTGCTTCCAAAGTTAGTACCAACTGAAACGTTTACCCATGGCGAAGCCTCCTAAGGTGACTGAATCTGAAGGCAACTGATGCGTGATTGGTTGGTTGTAGAGGTCGCACAAAATGAATCCACCAATCAATTTTCCAATAAGAGTCACGGACTACCAATTAGGATTCAGTCTAAGCACCACTTTGATTGAATTTACTAACTACGGCGTATCGCATCGTAGTACCTTAACAAAGCATAAGTAGGGTGATATCCTTCACCAGACAGAAAATAACACCAGACAAGAATCAACCACTGTGTTCTTGACACAGCATTAGTTAATAATTTGAAAATCTAGTTTGATCACAGAATATGCACTTTGCAGTAGCGCAAAATTGTTTTGCATTGGTTCCCAACAAGGAGGATGGGGAAGTCCGTTGAGTGTACAAAAGAAGGCATTCGAGTGTCACGTTTCATGGAGTGTGCGGAAGGGGCGGTGTAGAGGGGGTGACTTTGGCACTGGGTTGAAATTCCTCATTGCTTCGTTTAATCATCTGCATTAGTTCCTCAACTGAAACAACAAATTAAAACAAACCGATTTGAAGGCAAATCCTCCAATCCATTTGAATCATTTGTAGTCAATTCGCCGACTTGTGTTACCGCGTTTTTATTGGATGGCTGGAGTTTAAATGAAGTCAGAGTAGTATTCAATTTTAGTGCGTACCAACCAATCAAATCGATCGCCACTGGATCCATCGATAATTCATAGATTTATTCATCTGGACATGAAGGAAGCCTAGTGTATTTTTCCGAGAAATATCAGGGTAGTTTAAACAGCAGTACGTGGCTTCGTTAGTCATCAGCGAGATACTACAAGAGGGCTGAAAATTGCTAATCGCCTGTACAGCATTAAATTATACAACAGAGGTATCTAAGGAAGCTCTTAGTTCAAATTTCGTAAAAGCCCTCTTAAACGTCAGCAAGACAACTTGACAAATCAATCAACCCTGTCCGGAAATGCTGGGATGCGCAAATATCGACCCCAGAATCGGTGAGTGAAGAAGAGTTCAAGGTGGAGCATTCATGGAATCCAACTTCGCAAATGAGAGAGAAGGAGATGTAGTCCTGAAGGAACCTACTCTGCAGGGTGTGAGCGAGTTTCTTGTCAGAAGCCCTGAGTGCCAGGATGCGTGGAGTGTCGCCATTGACGTCCTGACAGACGGCGGAGGCGCCAGCGCGAATCAGTGACTCACAGACGCGTCTACGATGGCAAGCCGCCGCCTTGTGTAGAGCTGTTTGCTTCCTGGACCACAAAAAGAAGCACCATCATCAGAAGAAGTGACTCAAAACCTTGCAACGTTTTCCCGTAACCAAGAGAAAACCATTCAAATAACGGTACCAGATCCCTTGATGATGCTAGAACCGACCTTCCCACGCTAATGCACGAACAAGACCACAGTTTGTGCAGAGAGCTTCAGTCGCGTCAGTCAAAGTGTGTGTGATCTGTCAGAATGTCAACACTTTGACCTGATGGATGAAAGCGGATTATCACGGATGTGGTTGTTAGTAGGCTGCCGTGGGTGACATCTTCTGACGTCTGGGGGGGGGGGGGAATTCTGAACCCCCAACAAACCTCTAGACCATACCGCCTGGGAGAACACTACATCCCGCGGTTGTAAAGGCCTGATTGCACTTTCAGTTACTGCTGTTGTCTGGACACATGCAAACAGATCCAGGTCGAGAAAACTCACTTTTCGAAGTCCTGAAGGTCCAGCAACTCCCTCGGAGCTACAGCAAGAGAGAAAGAGAATTGGTCAAGAGAAACCGATCTTGAGGTGGAAAGCTGAAGGCACCAGAATCGCTCACCGCTTTCAATGAGGTACTGTACAACGTTGAGACGACCAAACTTGGCAGCCTGGTGTAGTCCTGACTTCCCCGAGACTGGATCCACAGTCGTTGGAGCGACGCCAGCGTCCAGAGCTTGTTGAACCTCCTGCAGGCGTCCGGCTCTGCATGCTGAGAGGAAATCTGCGCGAAGAGTAAGCAGTGGAATGAGGCAGATGCCCATCACCTCACTCGCCGAATGTCTAGACACTGTGGTCACTCTTAGACTGTCCCTTCTGTTGTCGATTTAAACAAATGTCAGCGACCAATGGACGTGGTCGACATTGAGTGCACACAAGGGCACAAGACCACGCGACTGAACACAAGCCTTCTCATAAACGCTTGCGTTTCCATCATCTCTGAAGCTCGAAGTCCTGTGAAGGATTCGCTAAGACTTTCACCAATAAGGACACTTTCAGAAGCAACACTAATTCCAGTCCCCTGAAAGTTTGACTTTTTGTGGTGACGTTCGCATTAGGTAATAAGATGGTTTTGCTTACAGGTACAGAGGTTACTTTTGATCAGGCTGGGAAGGTCTTGAGCAATCTCTGGATCACTGCTCGCCGAGCGTTTCGACAGAACCTCGGACGACTTGCTGGTGCGGAGGCACTGGAACAAGTCGAGGGGAGTGGAAGCGGGAGGATGTGGAAGAGGAGGCGACGGCGGTGGAGGAGGAAGCCCAGAATGAAGGCTCGTGAGGGACTGGACGAGTTGTGGTGCCACACCAACCCCCAAGCACCTCGACTGCTTCCTGGACGTTGTTGTCGCCGTGGACGTGGAGATGAGAATCTTGGGCGGCAGTCGCAAACGACGCCAGCCGTGGAAGCGTCTTTGCCGTGGTGACGTCGGCTTCTCCACCTTTTCGCTCTCCTCATCAACGACTTCGGACGAAGGGAAGTTGGGTGGTGCGGACGACGGGGTGTCCACTTGAAAGAACGTCATTTGAAGGGTCGGGAAGGAGATGGACGTGTCGAGTTGGGCAGGCAAGCTAAGTTTTCGATTGGCTGCGAAGCTACTAGAACACTCGGTTGACCTGGCATCAAGAAAACCATCATCACTTTCACCTTCCAATTAGTACATGGAAAGGCTTTATTAAATGGCAAAACTTACGACGACTTATTCATACACGAACTTTGCGAACGCCCGTCCAAACAATCCTAAATCAATAAACAGATTTTGGGTAACCGTAGAGATGAATTTCAACACCGTGGACGTCGGAGTAAATTACCTTGGCTTCCAGACAAACACCGCTTGTCTGTTCCAGTTGTAACTGATCGGAGGACTGCAGTGGAAGGCCTATTCAAATGCAAAAAAAGGCGCGGTTACCGAGTTGTTGGTGTGTGCGCTCCAGCACTTGTAAACTTTGTTTTAATGAAGTGGTTTGGTTGGAACACTACTCAAATGCACCAGCAGCAGTACGTTTCGTATTTTGCTGTACGCAGTTACCGTTTAACCCTTGCTGTTTATTGTTTTAGACACATTATCGGATTGTATCTGTCGATCTTAGATTCTAGCACGCCTGTCTGTTGGCGTTTAAGCATGTACCGAATGTTTGTCATCAGCTTTTCGTGTGATTCGGCACGAAGTTCCCTAGTCGATGTGACATCTGCAGCCGATCTGCTTGCGCGTTTAATCTCCGAGGTGCTACATTGAGAAGCGGCGAATTTCATAAGGCCGTCTCTCGACTAACTTCCACGACGCCAGCTTGAAAAGATTTCTGAAATGGGCTCTGCATAGCGTGGACGCAAGTCGGCCAGATGGCATCGATGGACGGCGTTCGAAAAATGGACATGTTGGTGGTGGATGACTTGAGAAACACCTGATTCTTAAAAATGCGCAGGGACAAGGAGGTAGGACAATGAGTCAATGTTTAGAAGACGCAACCAGTGGTAAAGAATGCGTCTATTTTTACTAACACGACCTTATTCTTCCTTTAAAATTCATTGTTATTGAATATGGGCAAGGAATGGTGTGACGCACCAAACCAATCCTTGCCCTGAGCCAAAATGGAGTTCTAACTTTGAATACAGCGAAAATTTGACATCCAAATTTGAATTTTTCATTCGTCAGGGGATGCATTTTTGACGAATAAGTGAGAGGCATCCAGAATTTGACCAGCCGTCTGCAAGCAGATTTTCACGAGGCTGTTTGAGGGTGCCAATGGAACAAGTGAACTACAACGATAACACTGACTCTGTCTGATTGGCTACGCATTCTTTTGAATTCCTATTGGATGCAAATGGTTTAATGAGAAAGATCGACACCCTCAATTGGTTCTGATCTAACTGAAAAAAATTAAACTGACTGCGAACCGCTAGACTTTTATTAAGTGATGATCATTGTGGCCGAGGATTTTTGCATAAAGGAGCCACATATCAACAAAACCAAAGCTTACCTAGCGTGCACACAATGTGCAAAATTATTACTTTTTATAAATAAAAAAATACCAAATGAATTATGACTAAATGGGGAGATTGAGTAGTTCCTGCCGAAAGGTTTACGAAGTGGGTGATTAATATGGCGGGAAGATCGATCAATCAGACTGAGCGTAATTGGTAATTGGAGTACGCAGTCTTATCACACGTGACCAGATGCGGTGCCGAATTAAAACAAAACCCCCATCCGTTTGTTGTTGTTGTATTGGGAATTCCTGCAATCACTTCCCGAGCTTTTGGTGAACACATTTTTGCATTCGACGTTGATGTGTTTGTGATCTAACATGAATATTTAACTTGGAATAAATAGACGTTTTCGACACGCAATCAGGCACGTATTCAGTAGATTACTACACGAATAAGCGAGAGGCGCCCGTAAGTGGTTGAACCAATTAAAAAGCGCGCATTTGACCAGCCGCCCGCAAGCAGATTTCCACGAGGCTGTTTGGGGGTGCCAATTGAACACGTGAATAACAACGAGAACAGTGTATGGCGCCATGTAGTGCCATTTAATAATACAAACAGCACAGTTGCACAATGCCTGCGTAGAACTGTGGCATTCAATGGAAGGTGTGAGTGGGTGTTGAGGAGCGAGAGACTCAGGCATGATCTACATCCTCCCAAGACGACGATTTCGTGTGTCGTAGGTCTGAGGTGTCCACGAAATGCTCGCATTAAATCAAACACCCAATAAAGGCAGCTGCACTGCTTCATGGAGAACATCTTACAAATAATCGACC